TTATGCCAATTTGTTAGCTGCTATACTTCACAGTTTCTGCTATGGTTATCTTGTAAACGCATGTTGTAAATCTTATAAATCGTAGATAGTGAAACCTCGTTAATGTAATACGGAAACAAACTAATCGTGGGAATCAATTTAATAAGCACTGTCAAAAAATGGCGCCATTTCGCTAAAATGCCGCCATTTCCGATCCGCCATCTTGAAGTGGCACAGATTATACAAGTTGCAGACCGTCCGTTGCACGGAACTAATCTGTTACAGTTCATTCACTTTTACTTTCCTCAGTTACATCGATCACGGGGTCAACGTTCATAACTCATGGGATTTAAATACAAAGTCCGCTTCTGAACTAAATTCAAACACTAATTACTCTATGCTCTATTTCATGCAATCTATTTCTGTTTTATTTTCATCCAAATCCATTCAGTCGTTTTAGAGTTATGAGGTAACTAAAATCCATACAAACATTTAGATTAATATAAGTAAGGTAAGGCGTGGAATTTAAGATTTTGGAGCCAGATTAACGCTATTTAAAAATAAAGAAAAAAGTTTGAATATCAATAAATTGAGGTCAAAATAAACGAGATACCTAAGTTGGCGACGAGTTACCGTGACAGTCCACTTGTCTGCCCTTGCGTCGAATATAGAACTCCGTTGTTGGTTACACCTGACCATGGATCCGGACTTAAATTGCTTATTGGAAATTAGACTTAATTTCTATGAAATAAGACTGAGAATTGGAGTCTATTCTCAAATCACAGTTCACTAACGTATTTAATAAAATTTGTTTTGTTCGAACAGACTGTTGACTTCAAAATTTTCATCACAGAATGCGAACATATATTTAAAACAAAACAAACTTGCATATTTAAAGTTGTTCATTCATTGCGACCCGGTGTATCCACAACTATATTAGGTCTGCGGGCCGTAATTTGAGCACCACTGGCCACAACTGACCTCGATAATATCTCAAAACAAAATGCTATTGTTGTTTTTATGCTATGTATTGTTGCAATACTCGTAATAACCGTTAAATGTTTTTCAGTTACTTCATATTAGTTTTGTTCATATTCAATCTAAAGCTAGACTGAGGCTATGAAGTAGCTAAGCTAGGCTGAGATTCACCTAGGCTAATTTTTGTTTCGGCATGGAATAATTCTTGTCTAGCGCTGACTTGGGCGCGCACACACCTTTAATTAAACTATCACAGAACTGTTTAGTTTCGCTTTGATTCTTCTAAACTTATATGGAGTTATTTTTATTTGTGCAACGAAACAGTTGAATTGGTTAAAAACAATCGACAATCGCGTAACAGTTGTGCGATAGTTTACTCAAAGGTGTGCACTCGCTCTAAAGATCTAAGTATATGTTATTATATACTCTGTATATATGTAATCTAATGCGTGTAAACGGCGTTACATTATCTATAACATGCCATTTCATGTATGTAACAGACGGCAGGACACGCTTGCATCGCGTAATTAACTTAAATGTTGGTATTTATGCTGTTAAATTATAAGTTACGTTTATGTTACTGTCTCTGATGTATAGAGTCAATAGAAGTTAAGGTTACGGATGGCCGTCTAAGCTGTTGTGGATTCGAATGTGTACATTAGAAGAAGTTTGAAAATAGCGCCAGTGGTGGAGAAATTGAGAAGCAAAAGGTTAGCGTGGTATGCACATGCTATGCGACGAGATAGGGACATATACCAGAAAATGTTAAGCTTGAATGTGGATGGCTACATAGGTAGAGGAAGACCGAAGAAAGTATGGATGGATTGTGTGAAAGAGGATATACTTAAGAGAGGAGTGGATTCAGATATGACGGCTGATAGAGATGTATGGAAGAGCAGCACATACTGTGTCGACCCTCCGTAAGGGATAAGGGCAAATGGATGATGATGAATTACTATCGTAAACCGTATAGCACAAACTTCAAGCTTATTTGGAATGGGTAACTATTAACATGATTAATAAAATTATATTATTAGAAATGCGCATGTTTGGATGAATATTTACAAAGTACCAGAACAGCACAACAGTTGGAGCACTATCTGGAATAATATAGGCCATTGAAAACTTATTAATTATTCGAGGACGAAGTCGCAGGTAAAAGCTAGTAATTTGCAATACGAAAGGTATAGAGTTATTCTATTGCAATAGGGCAAAGGGTGACGATGCACTCGCAATACGCAATGAATTGGTTCCGATTTGACCTGTGCCGCTGCGCCGGTCGTGTGGCAACCTTTGTAAATAATTTATTTTGTGTTTCGTAATAGGTTCCAAGATCGATAGACTTACATTGGTACCTAATATTACCAAAAAAGGATACCGACAAAGATACCGACAGCCATATATAGCGTAGAAATAACAAAAAAAAAATAAAAAAGGTGATATAATTATGCCGCACCACCACCATTATATTATGCGCAAAACCAGCGAAGCAGAATTTATATTCCGAATCGAATAATCCTTTAATCGATGTACCGTGATTTCGATGAGCATCGATTAAAGGATGAATCGATTTTCATCGACATATCGAGAGCGGGAAAGCGATAACATAAATATGCAGTGGATTTCTCCCGCTGCACGCCACTCCGGCTGTCGACGCCCCACGCCATACCACGTTGCCCCACGCCGCTGCAATTCGCTCCACACTGTACCACGTTGTCCCACGCCACAGCACTTCTCCCCACGCTGTACAATGTTGCCCCTCGCTGCGCCACTCCGGCTTACTTTGCCCCACACACAACTACGCCGTCCAGCGCCACCAGCCGTAGCAATTCTTCTATCAATTTTTTTTTACTGCAAGTATTCGCTTATGGATGTGCATTCGAGATAATTTTCGTAGAATTTTTGGAAGAGAAAAGTCATTTGTGTGTGTGTCTTAAAATTTCATGCATATTGTCTGATGCTTATGATTAGGGTTGCCAACTCCCTAAAAAATTTAACCGAACAGTTTGACTGTTCAATCAGAACTGAGCGTATGTAGCGGGCTTTATAAACTAGGAGATAATTTACCTACGACCTATAACTTTAAGAATGTGTAAAAATTATAAAATCTCCAGAATGTTCTATGAATCAGCTATATTCCAGAATATTCGATGATGTTAGGACTGTGTCATATTATCATTGAGAACAATAAACTCGAACTAAACCATTGAAAAATAACTCTTTTGTTTTTGGTTTTAAATAATCGATATTTACTAAATATTTGAAAAGAGTCGTCAACAATCAATGTCAAAATAAGTATCGATTTACGTTTCGAATAACATCAAATGAATTTTAACCTTACCTCAATCAAAATAGAGTCTATAATATCTAAGGATGTGTACGTCCATGGTGTGCGCTGTGTGGTAAGGTGTACAGTCGGATTCCGCCGCAGTGAAGCGCGTATCGGTCACAGTTAACTGAAGCCTACTAATTTCGTTACAGCCACTGAGAAAACACAAGAATTATTGTTTTTACATGTTTATGAACAATTTTCTTTATCAGTAATGTAGTGGTGTGTTTAGTATCGACAAAAATCGATGTATAATTTTTACATAAAACTGTTACTACGAGTTAAGTAGCTACCAAGGACGATTATTCTGATACCAAGGCTCTGGCGATATATCTATCCCCGTTTTTGCCATGTAATTTGCAAACCTGTGACGCCCCTTTCGATCTACCGCCCTGGGCGTTCGCTCCATGCTCTACCCTACCACCGGTACTGCCCGTTAATAGTTAGAGTACTTTAAAAGTTCATTATTTGAACAGTTCGAATGTTTTGTTAAAACTAAGAGTATATCGGTTCAGACTTGGCCAATATAGCAAGACAGTAGCGTAACCTAACCATGGATATGGTCTCACTAGGGCCGGTTAGTTCACATTATGTCATTTAAATGCCAGTCCAATTTCCAACTGTACTGGCTAAGTGTGAACCGGGCATAATAGATTGTAATCCAATTCATCAACGGAATTTTTTTTTAATAATAATTAAGGTGGCAAACGAGCAAGCGGCCACCTGAATCCGCCAAAGTGACGAAGCGACCGCTGCCCATAGACATCTGCAGTTGCAGATGCGTCGCCTACCCTTACCCGACGGAGGAGGAGACGCACATAAAGAGGATATTTCGTCAAATCCACGTCCCCTTCCCATCCTCTCATAAGAAAAGGGTGGTAAAGAGAAAGGGACTTAAATTAGGCCTCCGGCACACTTATCAGACGAAACACGGAATTGATTCCATTTCACGCCTGTCTTCTGTGTGGTCGTGGTATTACACCGGGCGTGCCGGCCTATTCGTGCTAAGATGTTAAAGCGGGTACTACCACTGATAATATAATGTGTATGGAGGCATATGTTTTAATCTACACCACTATTAAGCGCACGTGAACCATGGATGGGTTTTCATGAACAATTATGTCGCTATAGTAATTAGTTTACGGATTTCTATGTCACTCACCCTAAACATTGTAAACTAATCGAGTAAGCAAATAAGAGTTCTATGAAAACTATATAGAGTTTACAATTGATTGAATATGTATGTTGTTATTTGAACTATCGATATTAGGAAAATATAGTTGATACATTTTTTATTTTTATTATTCAGTTTATTGCCCTGTTATTAATTGCACGCGACGTTCAATACATTGTTTGAATAACTTTATAAATAATTTTTTTATCCGATATCCATCTATATTGATATTTTAAAGAGGAAAGATTTGTATTTTGTATGTATTGTAATAACTCAAAAACTACTGGACCAATTTAAATAAAAATTTCACTGCTAAAAAGGTAATTTTTCTGTGAGTAACATAGGATATGTTTTTTAATCTCATGCGGGCGAAGTCGCGAGCAACAACAAGTATTGTATAAATTTACTTTTTAACTAATGATTTTTACAAAATTCTAAGGCGTTAGAACATCGATTATCGTATTGAGCGAAACTACATTTTCTTAATTAATTAAAACACTTTGTTTTTTTTTTTTTTTAATGTTGATTTTTTTGTTACAGATGTGTTAAATGGATTACAATAATCTAGGTAAGTGATAATCTAAGTTATACAAAACAAGTTTTTCGTATTTTAGTTAAACACAAACTTTATTACCCCAAAAATATACTAAGACATTGTTTCGACATTTTAACTCTGACCGCCCCTGATTATGGACGTCAACGTGGTCATCTATACTTTTATAATAAAACATAAACACACACTTCTTTGTTGCCTAAGATGTCAGCTATTACAGCATATTTTTGAATATTGTTTTAAATAAAAAGCCTTACAATTACGTCACGCTTTAGGCTATATATTTTCACGCCACTAAACTTAGGGAGTAAATATTTTAGATAAAAACCCTAATGTGGGAAAGAGACCATAAGTTGCTGCCAACATCAAGGAAGCAAGGTTTGTAATGTCATGTCAATTTGATATTTGCAATTGATAATTTGACAGATGTAAACAATAAAATTAAATTTTTATAATTTCATGCGGATGAAGTCGCATGGGAACAGCTAGTTCATCATAAATATATAATTCTACATAACTAAAATATAATATATATAATATAGCATAAATAATGCTCTAGTTATGGTATAAAATAGTTGAAGTATGTTAAAATGCATTTAAAACACTGTCTAATTTTTATGGTAAGGCCCAATATGTTGTGTAAATTGTAATTGCAAAAGGGACATTTAAATGAGAATAGTATAACGTAATCGTAACCAGTTCACTTGATAAATAATGCATGTCAAATAACCTATTTGGTCATTGCTTGCAATTGCATTTCATAAGCATTACAAATAATCGAATGAGAACGTATTCTTAATCAAATGAGTGCTGTTTTTTATTTATTTGCAAGTAATTAATTCAACACGTTCAACGCTATTTATATGTACGAGAGTAAATTGGTGATACGGCAGTTAGCGTGTTAAAAAACAATGGCCTCGAAGTCTCCGGGTTACTATAGTACACATTTTCATGGGTGTCGTCAGGGTGCTATACCTACAGAACTGAAAAATGTAAAATGGAATTATTCTGGCCACGGATTTGACGTCGATGTCTTATCATCAATCATTCTAATATTATGAATGCGAGAGTTTAGATGGATGGATGTTTGTTAGAGTCTGTAGCCTAAACAACTGAACTGATTTCGATGATATATTGTATGGATGTAGACCTTAGTCTGGAAGAACACGTAGTTAAAGTTACTCACTTTTGTATTTTTTATTTCCACGCGGACGGAGTCGCGGGCAAAAGCTAGTGTGGATATAAAACAAGACACAGGCAATTTTCGACGTTCGTAAAGCTCAAATATCAAGGATCGTTATTCAATTTTTTCCAGTGTTTAAGACTACGGTAATTAAATGTTGAAACTAAGGGTCTCCGTACACTATTTCCAAACTGCTTAGCGTGCCACTATGGACTGTTTGAATCTGTCCGTGTATGCCGGTCCTAACCACATCCGAAACGTGTAGACGTGTGCCAACAATACGGTATTGTTCAGCGTCTGTTGTCGCGGTCCAGTGCACGTCTTTACGCTTTCTCGTGCACCATTCCTCGTTGTCACGATATACTGCCTACCGCACGATCATTAACCAATCCTAAACAAACTAAGAAGACAGTCAAATGACAACGCCAAACTCAGTGTTAAAGGCAGTTATTTAAGAAACCGCACGCATAGTGAGGAGGTTCCTGTCTCTGCAGCCTTGACCACTGGTTGCTTGAGTTATCGGATTCCGCAGCCGGTGGTTTTCTATTTTTTATATAATATGTTTCATTTTATTTTATTTTTAACAAATCATGTAAAATACATTACATATAAAAATAAGAAATAAAGATATATGGAAATAATACTTCTATTTCAAGCTAAGCTAAGCTTGGAATGATTAGCCATAGTTTGGTTGTTTTTTCTAAATTTACCAATGTTACGTAAATAGGAAATCTATCGAATTTCCGTTTTTGTACAGATAATCCGTAGTATTGAAACGCAACTAAATAATTAAATTATCCACGGGAGGTAGGAAGGGCCGGTGGAGTTTGGATCACTGAGTTATAAATCGTGTTTTTAGAACCGTTTCTAATTTCATTGAATTGCATTACATTTTTTATCTGTGATTTGTTAGAATTTCTATTCTCTTAATAAAATTCTACATATTATAAATGAAAATTTACTGAATTTAAAAGAACTGTCTCAGTCAACACCATTATTATTTTAGGGATCATAGAGTATTAACCGATGTATTTGAAGCCGTAAATAAGCTAGTGGTCTTAGGTAAATCGTTCCTTAGAAAGTCTTACTTAGTAAGTAAAACCACTATAAGGAGTCTTACTTAGTAAGTAAAACAACTATAAAGAGTCTTACTAAGTAAGTAAAACCACTCCTTATAGTGGTTAGACCTTGTAGTAAGTAAGACTTTTTAGGCAACGATTTACCTAAGACCCCTAGCTTATTTACGGTTTCAAATACATTGGTTAATACTCTATGATCCCTAAAGCACTAAGGTTTACTCTATGACGAAATCAAAGACAAACGTAGAAGGGAAAGTACAAACGGAGCAACAGCTCTCAGTAATAAGGAAGTGAGCACTTGTACTGCAATACTCACGAACTAAAGCACAATGGGTCAGGATGTCTATGCCTAGCTATAAATGCTATTATTTTATTACCAATCACATTTTATATTGTCTATGGTTATAAGAGTGGCGCTAGTGTCGCTTGTGTTTGTTTAGTTGAGTAATTTGGTTTGTTTTCTTGATGTGTGTTTACCAAAGGATTTTTTTTCTTCTGAAAGTCTATGCTAGAAGGATTTTGGTTCAAAATGCTATCTGATATACATTAAATATCTGCGATACATTTGGCTGTTATATTACGTGCTTTACTAATTGTCTGGCGTGCGTGTGCTCTTGCATTTTAGATAATTTTGCATGTGAAAGTAAAATAAGAATTCCGCTAAACTCATGACAATAGATAATGATGATGAATGTTTAATTATCACATAAGAGTTTGAACTCTTTAATATTTAGGTTTTCACTGTATTTTTCTTACCTTGTATTTATGTTAAGCCCCTATTAAATAATGTGCTAGTTACGATCAGTAATATGTCTTATTTCGCAAGCTTTTTTGGTATAGATACCCACAAATCTTAACGACAACAGCTCTA